TGAATGATGCATCTAAACTTGATCAATTACTTACCGTAACATATGGAACAAAATCAGCACCTTTTTTTAGCAATAAGAGTGTTGAAGCAGTTATCCATAGATGAAAAGGATAAGTATCCATTGGCTCAACGACACTCAACGATTTTTATGTTAATGACATTTTGTCTAGTGCAAAAGATGTCACCTCTGTTGTAGAATTGCAGCAGTTAATAGCCATGCTACAATATGCGAAAATGGAATTGCACAAGTGGTGCTCAAAAGAACAAATTTTTTTAAAACAAGTTGCATTCGGAAAACAAGAGTATCATTTTGAAGAATCTTCACAAAGAACCATAAAGACTGGAGGTTTAAGATGGAAACCAGAAGGAGACTCTTTTAGTTTTACTATGTCTAGTTCATCAAAAATCTGTACAAAACACACAGATTTGGCAGATATTGCTAAACTGTTTGATCCTTTAGGTTTCCTAGGACCTGTAATCATGTGTGCCAAGATGTTCCTGCAAAGGCTGTGGCTTTTACATCTAGAGTGGGATGAACCACTTCCTTTGTAAGAGCGACAAGAGTGGGAGACATTTCAAAAGACCCTACCAGAGTTGAGGCAAATCAAAGTCCCTCATTACTGATAAAATCAACTAAAGAAATTGACCTCCACTGTTTTGCTGATGCTTCAAAGTTTGGATATGGTGGAGTAATTTACTTCCATTGTGTCTCTGAAACTGGCGAAGTTAAAGCGACTTTACCTTGCAGCAAATCTCAAGTATTGCCTATCAAAGTGATAATAATTTCTCGTCTGGAGTTGTGTGCAGCAGAGCTCCTTTCCAAACTTGTGTGTAAGGTAATAGCCATATTTGAGTTTATATTTTGGCAAAGTTATTCTGTACACAGATTCAACAATTGTGTTAACCTGGATTGCTACATCTCCTATCTTCTAAAAGTGCTTGTGTCAAACAGTGTAGCTCGTATCCAAGAGCTAACTAAGGATTTCTTCTGGCAACACGCCAGAACTGCAGGCAATTCTGCTGACCTAATTTCTTGTGGTCTGAGCCAGGAAATTATTGTTTACAATTCTTTATGGTTTTAAGGATCAAATTTTCTGCATCAACAGGTCATTAATTATAATAGTGTTAATAACAACTTGGAAAATTCAAATGAGAACTATGTGCGAGAACTGAAACTTATTTCCAATGTAAATTTGACAGTAACTGTTAACAATTCTCTTTTGGATTATGTTTTTAGTATTGCTAATTGTTATGCTAAATTAAGTAATGTTTTTGCTTATGTTTTAAGATTTATAAGAAATTGTAGATCCACGGAAAAATAAGAAGGTCATTTGACAGTAGATGAGGTTTCTGTTCGGTGTCTGAAAGAGTATTGCTTGGTAGAATTGTTTTATGCCAACCAGAGTTTGGCTTTAGTGTAACCCTAAAGTTATTTCGTTTTTGCCTTATTAGTATGTATGATTCTGACTTGATGTAAGAGCATATGGTTGCTCGCTCTTAGCTAAGTTACATAGGTAACTATAAGCACATGCATGTGCTAGTATTCAATAATGTTTTTGTTAAAATAAATTTGTTATTGTTAATATTACAGTCCACTTACTGAAGTTAAGTATCATTAAATAAGTTCGAGCTATCTTCGGCAAGAACAGTTTCGTTAAGCGAAAACGAATTACTTTCCTTAGTCCAACATCAAAGCTTTCCTCAAGAATTCAAGGACTAAGTTAGAAAAGGGAAGTAGGTAAAAATAGTCAGTTAAAATTTTTATGCCCCTTTTTAGATGAATCTCAAGTTATTAGAGTAGGTGGCAGACTGCAGGAAGCTAACTTTGCCTTTTAACACAAAGCACCCTGCTGTCTTGCCCAAAATCATAAACTGACTCATTTAATTATGTTACACTACCAAATTCAAAACTTCCATACTGGAGCACAAGTGCTCTTGCATAGTGTTAGACAAAATTTTTGGCTGATAAGTAGACGTAATCTTGCTAGAAAAATAGTAAGAGAATGTGTAACATGTGCCAAGTAAAACCAGCATTGCTGGATCAAAAGATGGGAAATTTACCATTAGAGAGACTAAATCCATCCTTTCCCTTTAACCACACTGGTGTTGACTTCTGTGGCCCTTTTGGTATAAAATATACAAATCAGAAGAAGAGCGTAGTGCATAAGATTTTGTTGCAATTTTTGTTTGCCTCTTGACTCGTGCAATCCACCTCGAGATCATTTCAAATTTGTCTACAGAATCCTTTATTGCAGCTTTAAAATGACTTATTTCTAGAAGGGGTAAATGCGTATCCATATTTAGCAACAACTTTCGAAATTTTGTTGGGGCTAGCAATGAATTGAAGTGACTCTAACCCTGATGAATTCTTAACCAAATATCTCTGACATCTGAAAGGATTCATTGGAAATCTATTCCTCCCAGGGCTCCTCACTTTGGAGGTATCTGAGAGGCAGGTGTTAAGTTGTTTAAGTTTTTTCTTAAGCGTGCACTTGGGAGTTGATTTTTACATTTGAGGGATTTCTTACAATTTTGAACCAAATTGAAGGAATTTTAAATTCACCTCCAAGATCCCCATTGTCGAATGACACCAATGATTTAGAAGCTCTTACACCTGCACACTTTCTAGTCAGGCGACCTTTAACATCAATAACGAAGCCTGATTTAACTGATTTTTCTGAGAGTTCTTTAAAGCGCTGGCAGTGCATTACTAAAGTAACACAATATTTGTGGAAAAGGTGGCAAAATGATTACATCAGTCATTTACCGCAATGATTTAAGTGGTATTTTGCTAAGGATAATGTTAAAAAGGGCATTATTGTTTTAGTAAAGGAAGACAACATGCCCACTTCGACTTGGTTCCTGGGGGAAATAGAAGAGCTAATTTATGGTAAGGATAAAAAGGTTAGTTTGAATTGTAAAAACCAAGTCAGGTCTTTCAGGTGTTGTCTTTTAAAAAGGCCAATAACTCAATTAGCTGTACTACCAGTAGATGTTACATAATTTCATGTATATTTGCTGAGTTCAAAAAATTATTATTTATGTATTGTATTTGAATTTATATGCTGTGCATTTCATGTTCTGTGGTTAATTATGTTTATTGCTTTTGTTCATGTGTAACAATTTAATTTTGTGATATATGATTTGGACTATATGGTGAATTAAAACTGTTTAATTTTGGTCATTGTTAACTGTGTAACAAATGCCCAACCCGGGTGGTATGTTAAGGCAAAAGTGAAACAACGCCATGATCGAATGAATATTGTTTAACTAGAGTGATCTGGCAACCACGAGTAGGAAACGGAACAACGTGGACAGCTAGCGGCCATTGATTGAGTGTGTACTGGTAGTTTGAGTTGGTAAGTTGGTATGTGGATGGCAAAAGTGTCCATCCAAGTAAGACTACGTAAGTGCTCATATGTTTAATATTTGTTAACAGAAGTAAAATAAAAGAAATCTACAGTCCATTAAATTCAGTGTTTGAATTTCATAAATAATTGTGTGAGTAAATTCTCTTCTCAAACAGTTACAATCCTGATAAAGCAGTAGCAAGGTGCAACAAAAGCAGTTTCAATGACAACGACATATTCCACTTCCCAAACACCTTAAAATGTAGGCAACAACAAATCACATTAGACAAATTTTGATTAAAATGTCACAATGTGAGTTTCAGAGTCAAGTGGCACTTTGAGACAAAGAAACAGTAAAAGATGCCTGAAGATGAAGACAGTTACCTGATGCTTTTAGCAAAGAGAATTTCACATTCAAATAATAGCACCTTCTCATCCTTTTCCACTTATATGTTCACACTCCTTCATTCAGGTGCAATAAAATTAAATTGATTTTTCATCTCTTTTATTTGCTTATACTGTGTTTATTTATTTATTTATTTTTGTTTTATATTTACTGATTTCCACTGGTTTTATATTATGAACTTGTGCATAAAGTACTATTGTAAAATTTATATACATAAGCAATCACATGTAGTACTGGAATGAATTAATCCATTCTGGATTAATTACTATGGGGAATATTGATTTGGCTCACAAACATTTTGGTTGATGAACAGCCTTCAGAAATGAATTAAACTCATGAACCTAGGTTTCACTGTAATTTAAAAGTTCAATCTATGGAGTGTCCAGGCAATACTAACAGAAATGGAAAAACAGAATGACATGAAAATTACTATGACTGATGCTTTATATAATGGGAGGATAAAAAATTTAAACAAATAAATAAGGTAACTATAAATAAAATAAATTAAATAATAAATAAACGTTTTAGTAATAAAAGAAAATGCACAATCTAAAATGTATTTCACAAGTAAGAATACATTGCAATAAGCAAATAAATGATGAAATAAATGGTAGCCATTTTTTGTTATTTAACAAAGGTAAAATTTTGGCTCATGACTGGTGATTTCTGTAAGACCCAAAATATCTCTTTTGTAATATTTATAGTTTTGAGCCCTCAAACTTATGCAAAATAATATGTTTCTGGGGGGGGGAGACAACCAGATCAGAAGTTTACCAAAAGAATTGACATTTGTTGAATGGGAAAAAGAATAGCTGAATATGGCTGAGAACAAAATAGTTATTGATTGGAACAATAATTTGGAGGAAAATTGTATTCTATTTTCTAAACAGAGCTTCGAATAAAACTGAAGGACCTAACAAAATAGCAGGAACTGATAAAAGCCTTTTTACAAACTGCAAAAGAGAAGGAAGTCAAATAACTCCATAGTAGCTGCTATTTATTGAATATACACAGAGACTGATGAATGTTTTATTGTACAAGTTGTAGAAAAGACGTGTGACTCAGAAATCTGCAGGAATGATTGACATAATTTTGGTTCGAAATTTCCACCAAATGGTTTGACAATAGTCAACTTGTCATCAATTGATGGAATAATATGTAAAAACCTTAAATTACTACATAATTTCAGACAAGAGACATTCCTTATTGCTAAAAATATTTCAAAATCTTTCAAAACAAACTCACCTGTGAGCTCGCAGGTATTTGCCAAGGGGACCCAAAGGAGCAAGTTCTGTAACTAACATAAATGAACTACAGTCAGAGACACCTAAAAAGGAATTTATACACTGTAGATAAACTGAGATGCAATTTTTAAAACATTTCAGTTTTGAATCAGACATAAATTGAGGTTTAAGTTTCAAATGCAATAGTACCCAAATAAAATTATCAATAATATTTGGAGGGAAAGAGAAGAGGAAATAGCAGGTTGGAACAACATAGAATTTGTTTTGTTCTTTAAGCAAATTTAACATCTACATAGGGAGAAGAGTAAGTAAACTAAATGTTCCCTTAGTTAATAGAAGTTTTCCCTGGAATGGATAGAAATGTAACAGTAGTCATTGTTCCAACTTCAAATGGTCTGTTGAAATGACCAGTAACAAAACTATCTATTTTGTTATAAAAGTTAAACTCAAACTTAAAAATAGTGTAACAGCTTGGTATTTTTGGATTGTTTAGTATATTTGGAATAGTTGATTCTATTGTTATCATCAAAAATGTTTATTGTTATGTTTTACTACCAATACAGAATATTATGTATTTTTAAAATAAGTATTTATTGTTATAACTGAACTGATAATTTCTTGTACATTATTTTGTTGAATGTAGTCATTGAACAGAGGGCAAAATGTTGTTGGCTTTAAATTGGCTTTAAATTTAACTTTGCATTTCAAATTCGAACACCATCAACTAGGCAGGAAAAAATGTTAGTTCCTTAGTTGCTGGCACTAAGTCACATCAGTGTCAATTGTCAAGAACTAATGTATCATATGTAATACTGTTCTGCTTTAAAATAAAACTAAGAAAAGAGATTATCATCTTATTCTATAATCAGGGTTGCCACTCAAAGAGGAGAATGAAATTCCCTGACGTTTCCAGGTTTTCCAGGTGTGCTTTGAGAAAATTCCAGTCTATCAGCATAGTGCATGTTGGCTGTGCTGAGAGGTAAATTAATTATGGTACCACTTGAAAACACAAAAATTTGCCAATTGCACATGACTTATATATATAATCCCAAAAACTTTTACTATTATAGCTATAATAGGAGTTGTTTTCTCCACTGAAGATTGAGATTAGAATCTGCCCAATCTGGATTAAAAAATGAGTTTTTTTGCAGACATTTTGCAGCTAAACGAAAGAAAGAAATCTATTTAATGATATTTTAAAATAAATTCAGGTATTTCATATTTATTATGCAGCATACATAAGCAAAAATATGTGCATTCAATTTCATGATAGTATTCATCATACTGCTATATTTAGTTTCAGAATTATGCCATTGAAATTTGAAAGTATTATTAACTAATAATAAATAAATTTAGAGGAAAGAAAAACATTAAATAATATGAATAACATTAAAATGAAGTTAATTACTTAAAAATTGAATTACAATAATCAATGATATTTTGGCGAATATAGTCATATTAAAGGTTAGCCTAGATGACTGATTACTATTTTTCTATTTTACTGCAAAATGAAAAATAAGGCATTTATTAAAAATGAAAAAAAAAGTTTAAAAGATTTTGCGGTAAAATCCTAGTTTTCGCTACGGCCTTGGTACAATTTTGAAAACTGCTGCCAACACCAAAATGACCAATTTACTGCCCAACACCTTCTTAACCGCTTCATTTACAAATTTTTTTGAAAAAAATTGCAAAAAATCATCACATTTTTTTAATTTTATTATTAAATACAACAAAACGAAACAAATCAAAATATGTAAGTTTTAAGTTGAATTTTAAATTTTTTGAAGGTGTAAAAGCATTTACTTTTAATATTAGTTTACTATCCCGAGTTGAGTTATCTCGGGCAAATGAAAAAAAGTTAAACATTAATCTTTGTATGATAGTTTTTGAAACAAGGGAAAGCACAGAGTGGTACCTGACGTTCTACATTTGTATCTGGTCTCTTTTCTTACTGGCTTATCGCTGGAATCTCTTTCACGGGAGCACAGAGTACACTGTCTCGTTGGATTTGATTTTTTTTTTTTTTTTTTTTTTTTTTTTTTGATTTTTTTCCCAACCTTTTCATAATCACTATATGAAAAATCATCGCTTTCGCTATCTTCCACCATCGTCATTATTTTATTTTTTTCCAACGCATGCATCTTTCTTTATACATTACTAATCCACAAGCTAACGTATACTATACAATAGGGAAACTATACAATAGGGATACCTCCAAAAGAACCGCGCAACCAACACAATTTGGCAAACTGCCAGTCAAAGCTAAATATTTCCTTTCATTTCCTCCAGACCGAGTATAACCATGATAAAAGAAATCATACTAACAAATTCTGCTTCACCCGAGTTTTCTCGGGATAATAATTAACTGCAATATATACGAACCCGAGATTACTCGGGATAATCAGGCAAGCGGTTAAACAGAGACAAGAGACAGAAAGAGGTAACTGTTGTTACTGCTCATCATAATGTCGCCAAAATCCACGTGTACTATACATGGATGTTAGAATAAAAAATATGTATTGTTAAGATAAAAAAATCTTCTCTGCAACAGGAATGGCTCCGTCCTAACATAAAGAGAAACAGCTGGGTATGTGCGAAATATCTGTCGCCAAAGCTGACGAAGTTCGAAGGTCAAGTTTATCAAGAGTACACAAAATGAATATCGTTTTAAATTTATTTTCTGTACACATTGTGAAGCGGAAAATTCTCGCCATCAGGTTACGTCGCCAAATCCCTTGATGAGTTTTTCCCTCCACTTTCTAGCGGCACTATAGCAAACTGATTTACATGACGTCTATGGAACCTTTGCTTCTTTACATAGATGTTCTTACATTAGAACAGAGTACATGGGGGCTATCCTAGCCTCCATGATACCGTATATTAGGATTACACCGATTTTTTGTATATGAGAATGGGAAGGTATTTTCTTTAGTTCAACACGCACTGCATATGCGAGTCTTAGGATTCTCGACGTTACTGGAAACCAAACTTTCCGGAAACTTGCTTTGCCTTTCTAAAAGATAATCTGACTGGAGCTGCGAAAATTGGCTCTATGCCAGCTGCCCGAATGACGCTCATCCGATACATAATTCACCAACAAAGTGATCGCTTCCAACATTGGCGCAAAACTCGATTTTTGGGGTATCTCAGTATGGCATTCCCTGACTTTTCCAGATTTTGACTAAAACATTTAAATTCCCTGACTTTTTCCAGTTTTCCAGGTAGCATGGCAACTCTGTATAATACAGTCCAAAGGATGAAGCCATTAACTAGTGTTCTGAAAATCATGCAGGTAACAAAAATTTTATTAAGTAATCCTTGAAATTAAAGAAAATGAATATAATTTTCTTTTCAAAGCAAATACATTTAAATGCTACTATGTAAACATCAAAATTATCTATGTAATTTCACACACATACACATAAAATAAGTAAATAAATAAACAAGACCATTTACTACTATGAAACTTAACATGCAAATTACAAAAGTTTAAACTACAAAATACTACATTTGTATTTAGGAGCACAGAAAAATTCTACTGTAGGCAGAAAGTGCCATAACCAAAATTATTTCAAACACAATTTTGTACCGTAGTGTCTCATTTGCACAGAACTTGCATTTCTGCCATGTTTGTAGTTCAAATTACCTTCACAATAATTCCTGTTTATTCATATTGAAATAAAATTAATAACCCAATTAAGATATTCTATTGTATTAGTTTCTTTCTTTTTATTTTTTAAATCATCCTTCAGCATAAAATAACTGTTTACAAGATAAACCTTTTGAAACAGATTAATATAAATACCAAAAATGTCTATGATTACCACTCTTCTGAGTAAAGTCTTTTGCTTATAAAAATTTCCTCTACTTAAATCAAAACATAAAATTTTATTATTTAAAAAACACGAGATATGATAATTTAATTTATTTTGAATGATAATTTAATTTACTTATAATTTATTTTGAATAAACAGAACCCAACCAATTCTAAATTAATTACTGTCATTTCCAGCATTTACACCTGAGTTCCAAATAGGTACAATAACTGTTGAAAAACACTTTTATCAATAAAAAGCTTAGATTTTAAAATCTACAGAAATTGTATCGCATATCAAATAGCCAACTAATTTTAAATCACATACCGATTAATCTCACTATGTGCGGATGATCAAGGGCAATCATAGTTTGAGCTTCTTTCAGGATTTCACTCTAAAAATGTTTAAAATTAATTAAAAGAATTAAATATGAACAAAATCTGCAGAAAAAATACAGATCATGAATAAAGCTGTAACTCAAAAGTAATACACAACCACAGTTCTAATTTCACAACAACTGGTGGTTACAAATAATTACAAACTTACTTTAGGATTAGGCACACTGTTGCTTTTAAGCATCTTTATTGCAAATTGCACTTCCACTGGCCCAGAAGAAAATACTCCTCTAAAAACATCACAAAATAGTCCAGTACCTATTATTAAAAACAATTCTAATAAGAACAGAAAATTCTAATAAGACTGAAGAAATTTAGGAGGAGGAGCTAACACATTTTTTTAAATGAAAACATAAAAATACATAATACAGTTAAAATACTTAGCAAAAGCATGTTTTATGAAAGAGCCATATCAAAGCACAAAACATTTTACCATTAACAAAACATAAACAAATACTGAATTTAAACAACATCCTTCATTTTACAATACTAGTAGCTTTAGAAATGCAAATGAATGAATCAAATTAAATGATAAAAATAGCTTAGATTAACTTATTAGCTCATAATAAAAAATAACTTATATTTTTTAAATACCATTATATACTCATTTAGCATAATTTTAACAATTCATCAACATTTTGAGTACAATACATTGGCTTCTGAATCACTACTTAGAGTAAAAAGGAACATTAAAAAAAAAAAAAAAAAAAAAAAGAGAGAGAGAGGAGTAAATTGGATATTACAGTTTTTTGGCGCTTTCATTTTATCTTTATTCCATATATAGCTCAACAAGCTACAAAAATTTAATTATTACTTTCATATTTTACATTTTGATTAATATTTTCATTTGTTTACTACAGAAATCTATAATATGTGTAAGAAGCTAGTCTACTTTGTATCTAGGTCATCAAAAACATATATATACATTCTGGGGGGGGGAGGGAAGGCTATACCTACAAATTGTTAAAATACTTAAAGTTAATACAACAGAGCAGTAAATAGCTTTGTTACATTTTAAAAAATAAATTCCAATAATAATAGCAAGGAAAATTTTCGGTACTATTCCGTTTTGAAGACTGTAAAAAAATTGCAACGAAAATGTATGCGCAAAAGCGCCAAATCTAGCAGACGCGCACATTTAACATCGCGCCAAATCTAGCATATGCGTTGATTTCAGATTGCGTAAGTTCAGATAGTTCTATATTTCTTAAGTCGCCATTGAAATACTAGTTAAATTTTTAAATCCTTTTTGGATTTTAAATACTTTTTTGATATCCTATGGATTTAACAATTTGGGAACTGCCCATGACGAAAAGTCGGCAATAGAATTTTGGGTAAAGTGCAGAATCATCCAGTGCTTGACGCGTTTTTAAGAATTGCACATACTCGATATCCATGTACACATCGACCTATTTTCACTTAAACAAAAATCCCAGAGTTGCACATACATGGCACTGCGTACAACCTTGACTTTATCTATGTACACATCGACCTATTTTCACTTAAAAAATAAAAGAAAATTGACAAAAATCCAATTGTTTTACCCTTGTAAAAAGCGGCAAACAAATAAATGAGAAATTCTGTACTTTACCGAGAATGTTTTCAAAGAAAAAGCATCACTCATTATAGAAAATTATGTTTGAACAGCCAACGGGATGAAATTATGCTTTAGCGATAACTCGGTAACAAAATAGCGATGTAGGCATACATTCAGTTATGTTTAGCAATTTTTATATAAATTATAATAATGATCTGAAATAGTTATTTACACTTATTGTTCCATTCATTCAAGTTTAGCCTTTTTTTTATATAAATTATAATAATAAAAAAGTATTATATGAAATTAACCTTTCATCTAAATTAAAACATCAATCTTAGTTATTTACTATTATACTTACTTTCTTGCATTAGGGTTGCCAAAATTAGTTTTGGCAGCACTGGCATCAATAATTGTTTGGCGATTTTTTACAGCCCTCAAAACCGAATAGTACCAAATTTTCATATTAAAAGAATTTTATGTGAACTTGTTAGGAGAGTGGGAGATCAGTCCAACAAAATAGCCTTTTGTCGCAACCACCTCACAAATGACCAGCATTTCGGAGAACATAAAACATTGATGTTGAATATTAACTCTCTAATACGACCATTTACAGACAAAACCATTTCCCTGCTAGGGATAGTTTCTTGGATGGGATTTACCACAATATTATTTTCAAATTATTAAGAAATTAATCAATAAAAAAGCTTCATCATAACAGTGTCTTATTAGAATTTACATATATTCATGAACTTTGATCAAACCGTTAATAATGTTTTATAGAAAAAACAAAACAAAAAAGTGATTATTCATTTGTAATAACCTTCAACATACATAATCAACATACAGTTTTCATAGTTTTTATTATCTTCTTTAGTCCAGAAGTACATAATAAAATCATATAGCTTTGTCTACAACCAAAAATTAAAGAATATAAAATATTATATATAAAATGAACTGCTCAAATGGAAGGGCAAATGGTAAAAGAAATTACTACTGTAGTATTTTATAACAAATTAATGCCACACAAAAACTTTAATGCTTACTTAATAAAAAATAAAAATAAATAAAAAAAAAAAAAAGACTAATTGTTTAAGGTATATCTACATTTCCATTTCCATAAATTGCTGCATTTAAAGGCATGCAACTAATATTTTGCTCAACTGACAATCATTTTTATTTTACTAGGATATGAAATCCATTCGATAAAAGAAAAGTTACCAATTTTTTCTTTCAAATCTATTGACTTCTGATCCAGGTTTATAGGACCTCTTCTACATTGTCTCAATGTGAGATAAGCCAAATCAGATTCTTCCCTGGACAGAGTATTTTTATCACTAATATCTGTAAATGAAATACACATATTATTTTTCTCAATCAGAAAAGATCAACCAGGCAAAATACCAATATAGTATATTAACTAATATTTTTTAATACCATTTAATGATAAAAAATTTAAAATTAATGTAAAAACTAATATTTAAATGCCTGTAAACACAAAATATTCACAAACACACCTGAAATGTTTTTTGGTGAAACAGGAACAAACACCTTTAGGTTAGGTTTTTGCAAAATTTTGACTTTAAAATGCTAAAAATTTTGTTCAACTATAGCAAAACAATGTTTTACTGAGCTGGCACTTTCATTGTAAGATATTTGAAACTAATACCATGACGCATGGGGTAAATCAAAATGATGTAAGGAATCGGATATATTTATAGAGCAATGCCTACTCTGTAAACCATGGAACTTTTATGTAAAATAATGTGCGAGAAATAGTTTTTGTACCTTAACCATATGCACCAAGCATAATAGTAAGGATAACAAAATATGTGATTTCTTGGTTTACAGAAAACAAGAGTTAACTAATTAGTATAAACAATAGTTTTATAACAATTACTTATTTCTACAGAGAGACCAGCACAAAACAATCCAGTACCTGTTATTAAAAACATTTCTAATAAGAACAGAAGATTCTAATAACACTGAAGAAATTTAGGAGGAGGAGCTAACACATTTTTTTAAATGTAGTTTAAATGAAAAGATAAAAAATACATAATAGAGTTAAAATGCTTAGCAAAAGAATGTTTTATGAAAGAGCCATATCAAAGCGCAAAACATTTTACCATTAACAAAACATAAATAAATACTGAATTTAAACAACATCTTTCATTTTACAATACTAGTAGCTTTAGAAATGCAAATGAATGAATGAAATTAAATGATAAAAATAGCTTAGTCCATATCTACTTCACTTATATAGTAATGAAAACTAAATGTAAATTTTCTTCAAGTGAACAATGTGGCACATGACATAATTGCCTAATCATGATTTTTTAATACTGTATTCATGTCTCTCTCAAGAAATCTTCTCAATCTTGGATCCATATTATCTGCAGAACGACTATTGTGATCACCATGTAGCTCTTACCTCATGAAATTGGATTCATGATTGCATATTATGAAGAAGCGTGGCTGCTATATGTCACCATACAGCCAACAATGAATTAGAAACATAGAATGGGATGCTTTTAGCTCAGTTAATCTCAAAAGAGTATCACAAAGGACCTTCAATGTGACTAAACTCACATGTTCAAGGAGAGGATGAGCACGCAAAATTCTTGGACAACTGGCCATATGAATTCATTCTTCATAAAACATTAAAATATAAAGTTTTATTATAAGTATTTGGAGGACTTCCTGGACACAGAATTATGACTGTACTCCTTCATATCGATAAAATTCATACCAATAAAATTTTCCTATAAAGGTAGCATTGCACAACATTACAAGAAAAAAAGAAATGCTAAGGCTATGTTGCAGATCCTACTGCTGTTCGGAAAGGACATATGGTTCTGTCCACTTAAAGTCAGCTTTTGCTTCATTTTTCAGAAGTTTTGGCTTCACTGCTCAGGAGTTTTAGCTTTACTGCTCAGAAGTATAACTATATGCCAGTAGGCTTATTAGTGGCCGAGTGGCAATGACTACTAAACTCTGGTGGTTTGAATTCTGGCAAACACATTCGCTGCATGGGTATTTTCATAATTTTTCTTCATATGTTTCATAAACAAGATGGAGGCTGGAAATAGGCTGTAAATTCTACGAGTATTTAGAAGAAGGTTTCAAACATTTATTTGTGAAACATAGTATTAATTTAGAAGATGCTTTTAAGTTTCCCTTACGAAATTCTCCTCGGAAACATAACCTCTTTTAGGGATGATCCTTGTATGCTTTGTCACATTCAGTTAAATAAGCAAAAATTTTGCCAGTATATCAACTTCACATTACCAAGAGTTTTTTAGCGAAATGTTCACAAAGTTCACTTTTTTCAAAGCATAAAACCTTACTACCTTCTTGTTTCAAATAATGCACTTAGTATTTTTCTATTGCTGTTTTCACACTCAGAAATCTCCAACATCATTTCCCCCCTTTCTCAAACTCGATTTGTTTCAAAGAAACAAAAAATGTTTTGTCAGGAGCAAATATTCTATAGATAATTTTTATGCTTGATTATGAAAAGCCATACTTTCTCTTAAAATGTATTTTAAATTGAGCTTTAATTGAAAATTAATGTCTAAACAAAATTTATCTCTAATTTACCAACCTTCTCATTGTCATATTCAAAAATAGGGCAAATTAGGATAAAATTAACCATCAAATTATAGGATGGGGATATAAAATACTGAATAAATTTTTAATTTATTGGCTGAATTACTGTGGATGTGAAATCACACTGGCTAGCTTATATATATATATATATGCTTATTCCCAAATTCTTAGAATAAAAAAAAATTGTGATGAAACCCACTATCTTCAAGAAGAAATACAAAACATTATGGCTCTACTCTTACACGAGCCCTAAGGTTGCCAAATGCAGCGATATGTGTTGTGCGCTTGTTTCTGGCACGATTACATGTTCTGTTCTGCAATGTTGATTTCTATAGCAAGCCTTTTTATGTGGAAACTTGGATTTGCTAGTTGGTTCATGTGGTAATTAAGTGATTTATGACGTGTTGGCAAAATTTTAGTTGCGTGCCTGGTACAACTATTTTTTTCGGGTAGCTGGAAATTCTACGAGTATTTAGGAGAAGAAAGTTTTGAACATTTATTTGTGAACATAGTATCAATTTTGCGGATAGTGAGAGTGGCTGTCATATAAATATGATAGAGATTACGTGGAGGCATGTTAAAGCAACGTTGCTGACTTATAATCAGAAATGCGATTTGGAGTTTTATTTCCAAATCGCATTTATTTGGTGGTTTATACATTGTTCCATCATTGTTCTGAAATGGGAGCAGATGCTTTTAACAAATTTGTGGTGAAATTGTTTTGGTGATGTTTGAAATTGTTATTTCTGCTGTTTGAAGAAGCATTTATTTATGGTAAGTGCATTTTGTTTTATTCTTGTTCTTATTTAGTAGAAAAAGTAGTATTTTAGTATGAATTTCTGTCATTATTGTTGTTTTTTGAATTGTTTGAAATTTATTTTAGTTCATTTTGTTGATTAGTGCGCAATGCCTAGATTGTGCAATTCGTAATGTTTTTTAAAGTTCAAACAGAACGCTGTGTACACGGTATTCTTGAAATTTATTGTTGTTATGTTAACTTATTAAAGTGAGGTGTGCGTAGTTTGTAGATTCCTTCGCTGCCTAGATTGTGCAATTCGGAGATTTTTTTTAAAGTTTAATAAGAAAGCTGTGTACATGGTATTCTCCGAAATTTATTGTTGTTATGTCAATTTATTTAAGCAAGGTGTGCGTAGTTCGTACATTCCTTCGCTGCAAGGATTGTGCAATTTTGTGATTTTTTTAAGTTAAAACATATCACTGTGTACATGGATTCTTGTCAAATATTTTTGGTTATAAACTTTACATTTTCGCTATCTAAATTTTTCGTTTTTGTTTCAGATTTTTATCTTAAATTGTGTGTTCAAAACATGGTTTTTGCATGTGCAAAAATCACGACATTTTAGGCTAAAAGTTCAAAATGTACACAAAAAATTTAGGTAGTAATATGGTGGCATGGAGTTTCTCGACCTGAGGGTGCATATAAGAGTAATTCCAACATTAATGTAGGAGACAGCTGCTTCAGATAGACGATTACACATCGGCTGAGCAAAGTCAACAGAAGGAGTGCCACATTTGATTGAACTATTTATTATTATTATTATTTTTTCTTTAACTGCGAAATAAGCGGGGAATTCCCTTTTCACTCAGTATATGTATGCACTTGTTAGAGTAATGTAACATTTTCTACTTGTGTGAGATATCCATATTAAAATTTTTATATTAATAATCACAGCAGGGATTATTTAATTTGTAACCTGCATGTTGTGGCCCTGAGAGTTGCAACAATTATTAACCTCTTAGAAAATCAAATTCCAAAGTTCCTAATATTGCACACCTTCAAAAAAAAAAAAAAAAAAAAAAAAAAAAAAAAAAAAAAAAAAGCTGCCATTTACTTATCTTTTAAATTATTTATTTAAGGTGAAATGATATTTTTTACACAAATCTGAAAAGAAGGTAAGTAGTGTATGACTTTTAAAAGTAATTTAATGTGTATAAATAATTAAAATTCTCTTTGGATTTGGCTAGAATTAAAAGAGTACTATTCTTTGTATGCTTTATGGAATCACTAGCCATCTATTCTTTTTACTATACAACAGGGGATATTTCGATTTTTAAGATGTTTTTATAGCTTGATTGCAAGAAGAATTATGACTTTTTTAACCCCTTATTTTATTTTCCTATACTTTTGGCCAGTTTTAGAACTATAATTTAAATGCATTGCCATCTTGGATGGTTTCTCTTAAAAGACACACATCTGAAAACGATACCATGTTGTCACTTGCTGCCTCTTTATAGTGTACAAAAGTTGACTTTATAGTGTACAACCTTGAATTTAATTAGTTTTTAGCCTTTTTCAGATTATTTTATCTTTTTACACTTGTATATAAATATTTGTCCTGTTATGAGTACGAATACATGTGTGAAAAAGACCTGAATTTTTTTAGACTTTTAAAATAAATTGTGTTTTAATGAAAGTTGAATAAATAAAAGCAATTTTGAGTCTCAAGTGATTCAGAGGATTGACACATGTATTCAACACTCATTAATCAACTTGGTTTAAGATTTCAAAACACTTTTCCCTCTAAAAGTTCTGTTTGAAACAGAGGAGATTAAAACTTTTAATACTTTTTAGTTTTATTTTGTACAAATTTTCTATATTTTAAATGATTGTTCTCTTGAAGTGTACATTTTATGATTTTGCTTTTGTAAGTTTTTTTAATTTACATTCTACCAGTTTATAATGGTACCCGGAGAAGATAGGTTAGACCTTCAAATTTTAAGTACAGTAATTTATTCTCTTTCATTCTGATTTTTATTTTTGATTTTTATAATTTTCAATCTTGAAGTATATGTGCAGGTCTCACTATTAATCACATTCCTTTAATTCTCATTCTGCAAAATTTATACAAAAAATTTCATTTGATAAATTATATTTCCTTGAAGTCTTCTACATTTTAAAAATCTAATAACTTTAGTTAAACATTGTAAGTCAAATCTTCCAAAGTATATAAAAACTTTTTTCTTGTACACATAAACATTATCTACCAGTTTTTTACCTTTTCCTTTCTATTCAGTAGGTGTGTGACATTTTTATTTCTTACCTTTTTCAGTTCTATTTATTTTACGCTAAGCAGCACACAATATTTTTGAAGCAGGACTCAAAAAAATGTTAAAAAAAAAAAAAAAAAAAAAACTCTTTAAAATTAGTATCAGTTTATAGTTAAGTAACAACTAATTTTTAAGGCATATATTATTTTCAAAATTATTTATAACTGTGAATGATATAATACCATTTCTGCTGTACATATTGCTAATTTTCTAAAATATTCCAAATAAAAAATAAATAAAATAACCCAATAACAAGATTCAGAAAAAGTTGTCAAAATATTAAGTTAAGAAAACCAATGCTCAGCATTTTATTGTGCTTAACCTGTAGTTTGATTCAAAGGACAAGTAAACATATTATCATTGAAACTGAGGGAAAAATATTCCACTTGTCTTTTTAATACTTGTATCATCACGTTAGAAGGGACATTTTGGTCTCCAAGTAAAAATGTTGCATAAGCTAGCCTTCAAATTAATTTGCAAACAGAAACTTCTTAAAAAATTTGCAAGTTGTCTCTGGCATTGTTCAGTATGACACAGCTTTAGAAAAACTTTAGCAATAAACCAAATACAACAACAAAAAAAGGCAGAATGAAAGTATACTTACCTATATCAATCAAAATACCTTCAGGACAATGAACTGTAGGCGTGGAAGACGGTGGCGACGGAACATCATTGCTAAGCAAACATATAACATCACTGCTACCACTAAGAGTTGCATAAACAGAGCTGTCACATGGTAATGTTTTATCCAAATCATAAGGAAGTGTATTTTTCTCTTCTGTACAAGTATTTGACTGCACAGTGATCCTGTAATCAGGATCAGGCTGTGAGGATATATTTGGAGATGCACTTTCAGAAATACTTAGCTCCATGCTATCTACAGTTTCTTGACACTCAACAGTTGTACAATGTGAACTTAGCTCTGTCTCAGAAAATGGCACAGTTTCTTGAATCACATCCTTTTCATCTGGCATGATATCACTTGGGAAAATATCTTCATTAAATGACTCTTGCCCAAACTAAAAATAGAAGAAATAAGGTTACTTTTACAAATACGATATTTTTAAATGGGAAAAAAAAAAAAAAAAAAATAGTTTGAATATCATGTTATACATGACACATTTATCTCTTTTAGTTGCTATTTTAGATAATTTTCCAAAGTTGCTCTATATGGCAGAAGTTTCAAAGACTTAACGTTTTTAGACATCTGAAAGAAATAAAGACTTCTAAGAAGATTACTACAGCAGAGTTAAAACTACTATAATTTGCATTACTTGTTTCTTAAAAATGCATTCCTGTTTCAGATATTTTAATTTAACTCTTCAAAAACTTCTAATCTTTTTTTTTTTTTTTTTTTGCTTCTCTTATCCTCACCTATCTCTTATCAAAATTTGCTTCTCTTATCCTCACTTCCTCTGATCTGTAATGAGAACATTGCAGAATTATGTAAAAATTAAAGTGAAATACAGCATAATCTACTCTGTTTTCACATGCACTGTCCTTATTTTCAGCACCTTCTGTCAGCACTATCCTTATCTTCAGGGCAGATGTTTTTATTTTATTTGGCTTATAATTCCTTACTAAATGTAGTATTTCATCTCATTGTACTCAGTCTTTGATATGATTTAAATCAAATTCCTCGTCATTATAAATATCACGAATACACATCAAATAGTTTTCTGATTGCAATTTTCTAATTTCGAAAATGTGTAATGTCTGCTTTACACATGCGCGCGTTGAAAGAAATGTTTAATAAAGTAAACAAATAAATATTAAGCTTTTTTTTTTGTCAATTTTGATACCCTTTAGATCATAATTGCTTGTTATTTCATAAATTACGGTTTCATATTTTTAATTTTATAATTTTTGCATGCCATCTTACCAGATTTAAACTGATGATCTATAATCGGAATATAAAAACCGATAATCCGGAATTGCCAAAGTCGCAACGAGTCCAGATTTAAGACTTTTGACTGTATAAAAGAAGTCCTTTGCCCTTATAAAGTCCCCACAAAACCATCTCTTCCTTTAGACAGAAACCCTTGTTCCTTCTACCATAGTTAACTTAATTGATCAGTACTTCCGTATTGGATAGGTTAAGTGATTTGAATATAGCAAAGCACACAAGAGCTATTCGACTAAGGGGTGAGATGCATTCGTGGAGGACTTTCTAAAGGAAACAAGCTCATATTCATGTTATGCATGGGAAAATGACCAAAACCGACCATGAATACAGCCTGTTTGCTTGAATTCAAACGATGTCAAACTACCAGTATTCAGTGATTTAACCACTTTCATATTTTATAAGGGATTTTTTAGCTTGTATTTATAATGTTATTTACAACTGCTTATAGTTCTGCCATTTTTTAAATTTTATTTTTGGCCTTGAAAATGGCCATTGTATTTTTAATTTGTGGCCCGGAAAAGGGCCCTCTTTCTTAACTGAGGTATTCAGTCCTGCTAAGCAAGTAACAATATCGTTATCGTATTTATTAGGAAAATGCTCCTGTAATATGACAAAAGCATTCATTACGATAATCTTAGTGGTACTGTTTTTTCAGGTTTATGAGGTTTTCCAGCTTCATGAGGTTGAAAATTATACACATATGTTGAAGATAAAGCAGATACCATAACAACTGCTTTTTTCTCCTCCCGGTCAAAAAAAAAAAAAAAGGGGGATGTCTGGTCATTGAATGATTGACATGATTTAGCAAATTTTTAAACAAAAAGCTGGATGCAACATAATATATCATTTCACCTATTTTTTCCTTCCATTCTCTTTGTTCCACAGCATTCATATTTCACAGCATAATTTTTTACAATATTACTTCTCGAAATGGTAGAACTATATTCCACTGCAGACACATACACTTTCTACTATATCCAGTGTTCTCAACTTAGGCTGACCTGAAGTATAATGTTAAAGATATTTAATAAAATTTTGAAAACTGGAATTAGGAAATTCTAATATGGAATAATAGGAAATTCCTTTCCATTCTAATATGTGCCTCGTATCCAATTTTTTTCTGAACCCATATTACTTTGTATTGTACCATACTTACATTCGGGTACAGCTTTGTAGTCAATTTTTTTTCTGAACCCATATTTCCTTCAGGAGCTAACACTTAAAAGGTCTTGTACATAAAAGTTAATATAAGTGGCTTTTATATAGTATTATAGTTATTTTTTTAAAACTTTCAAAAGTTATTATAGTTTGTGATACCTGTCTTATAGGACCAAAGTATTTGAGACGTAACAGTTTTCAGGAAATACATTGACTCTACCTTATGCTGGCTGACAAGTAAAAAATTGACTCATGACAGCTTTAATGATGCTTCTGCGATTTCACACTTTCCAGAAATCTGGTCGTCACCTCACTCTCCAGATTTATACACATATGATTTTTAATTGTCACACTTCCTAAAAGATTGTCTTCCTGAAGACCTAACAGACCTCATCAAGAAATACTTAGAAAACCTCAGCTGCAAGCTAACATAATGCAGTACAACAGTGATATTCTTTGTGAATCTCTTTTGTGTGATGACTGATCATGCTTTAATAAACTACCAATCAGCAGCATATCCTGATTTTTCATGAAGGACATGTTGCTGAACACCAAATTAAACAAAAAAAAAAAAAAATTTTTTTTAATTGCAAGTATTTGAAACTGGCTATAAAATTTGCATATTAATATAGTGTTAAATGTGGCTCAACATGTAAAATAATGAAATGCATGTATTCATCAAATTTAAGGTTATAATTCAATTTTACTTGATTTATGCAGATCTCTCTATAATATAATTCTAGTCATAATCAGTAAATCAATTATATAAATATATTATTAATTATCTTAATTCCAGACAAAAGTTGAATACTAATATAGTTAATGTTAATATTGGCAAAATCAGCAATTCAATCTTTTAAGTGTCATTTATGTTATGAATTCCACTGGTATTAATTTATACAAAGCAGAAATTTATGAAAACGTTTATTTTCAAACTCAAGGGATGAGGGAAAAAATTCAACTTAAATAATTCGTAAGACTAGTGTTAAAGATATTTAATAAAATTAGGGAGGAACTGTAATTAGGAAACAGAACTTTTTCTAGATTCAGAAATCTCAAATTATTAATCACGCTTTACACACATTTTCTTATTACAATCTCACAATACAGTTTTCACTTTTTTCTATTTGGAGGGGCCAATTTATTTTTTATTCCTTGTGCATTGGCTTTTTGTGATGCATGACTATTTGGTTAAAAGAAACTAAGAAATTGCTATTTCCTTTATATGGCAGCATTCACAAGTTTTTTTTTAATTGCAATTCATAAAATTATTCAAAGCAATAAGAAATATATCTGCTAAATTATGCTTACATTTTCTACTTAGAGTTACTAATATTAAACAATTTTATAGATCTGTGAAATCAGTAGACTGATCAAGGCCTCTAAAAGCAGATCCTGTTTTATGAAGGCATGTATGTAATTCATAAATCAATTTGGTATTTTATTGCATCTTTATAAAATTTCACAAATATTTGCACTTGCTTGTTTCACTACAGATTTGTGCTTTCATTCACTTGTCTCTAAACTTATCTTAATTTCTAAAACTACAAATGCTAGGATTCTATAGAATGCTGTCAAGAATGGGCAAAAAAATTATTAAATAAAATGATAAAGCAATAAATAATGAATAATTATATAAAAATAAAAATATTAATAAAGTTAGCTAACAATAATTAAGTAAATAATGAATTAAATTATAAAAAACCATACAAAAATGAGCAAATTAATAATAAACTAAAATAAAGTTGAAACAATTAAGTGAAATAATTAAGCAAATGAAAGGTAAATAAGTTCATCATAATAAAGCATAGTACAAAGAATAAAAGTTATGTTTCTCTGTTTTTTTTGTTTTTCAAATGGATGTGCAACACCTTCTCAAGCATTATGAATAATTGAACCAATCCATCAAAGCCAAATCAATCAATTTGCCATCTCATCATCAAGAACACTACACAGGGTGATCTGACATTTTGCTCGCTACTACGGCCCATTACGAAATCCTGGGCAACAACATTTTCAGTTTCTCTCCACCCGTTTTTGCATGCAAACTATCAAAATCAGCATCCCAAGTGCATGTATGTTGTTGCAGTGTATATGCACATATATATGCATGAATACACCAGCAGTCAACCTACACTGAGATATGCCAGAAAGCATGTGCATCCAGAAAAGAATACAGTTCAATAATTTCAGCAGCTTTAAAAGTAAACTATGAAAAATATGAATATTGTTGAGATAAAATGACTTATCAGAAAAGGAAGCTTAGAAAAAGATGCTAATTTCATTTAAAAATCAAACACTATAAATGTGCAGGATGCTCCAGTTAGATTTGCAGTCTGATCAATTGTTAATGAAAAAGTTACATTCAAATTAATTAACAGTCTTTTATGGTTCCCTGAATACAGATAAATTCAAAATTTCTGGATTATGATAAAAAGTATTAATTTTTATTGGATTGATATATTTTGTGAAACAACTTTTCAATAATGAAGTACACCAAAAATAAATACTGATCACAAATTACTGGCGAAAATTTACAGTCAATATTAAGGATTGCTACGAGTGAGGTGTAATCTAATTTAGGTGAAATATTTGCAAATGAACATTCAAGATTTCATGTCTCACATTAAGTATATGTTAATTACAACAACACAGTGCTTGTAATAAAAATGAGTAAAGTGGTAAATTTATGAAAATGTTTGATTCATCACTGATGCTTTTGTTTGCTTCATATTCCCTGAAAATTATATGTGCATTGTATATTTCATTGGTTGACCCACATATAAGGCTGTTGTGATCCTTTGTTTGCCGTTTGGGGCTTAATTAAAGTAAAAAATATGAAATTAAGTACATAAAATGCTATTTTAAATTGTATTTTTTAAAATTTCTGGTAGGAAGGGAATGTTCCCCTCCTTTCCATCAGTTCTGGCACACAATAGGAGAACCACAAAAGAT